AGAGGAGGAGAAGGAGGAGGGAGGAGGGAGGAGGGAGGAGGGGGGAGGAGAACAAGGAGGAGGAGAAGGAGGAAGATGAGGAGGACCTCTGGGTGGGTGGTTTAGAAGGGCGAGAAGGCGGAGGACGAGGGGGGACGACGATGAAGAGGAGGATGGACGGACAAGGCGGAAGTTGAGGAGGATGGGAAGAGGTGGAAGAGGACATATGGTGATGACGAGGTGGGGGAGGAGGGTTGGGCCGGGGGTGGGAATGCAATGAGAATGAGGAGATCACGAGGAGGAGGAGAAGGAGGAGGAGAGGAGGAGGAGGAGGGATGAGTTGGAGGAGAATGAGGAGGATGAGGGCGAGGAGGAGGAGGGTGGGGAAGAGGAGGAGCAGGAGGCGAAGGAGGATGATGAGGAGGAGGAGGGCGAGGAGGGGGGGGGGATGAGGATGGGGAGAGGGAGGAGAAGGAGAAGGATGATGCTGAAGAGGATGGGCGAGGATCGCGATGGCGACGAGGCGAAGGATGGGCACGTGCGGGGGGAGGGGGAGCAGGAGGGGGGGAGGGGGGGGGGAGGGGGAGGAGGAGGAGGCGGAGGGCAATGAGGAATCTGAGGAGTTGGGGGCCTTCCAGGCGAAGGCGCAGCAAGTGGTGAGCATGATCAGGGGTGCGCAGCTGCTCCCGTCCTTGCGGACCGAGCCGAGTGGCCCGAAGCTGGCCCGCGAGTACCTCGCGGCGCACCGCGCCGAGAAGGCGAAGGACATCCCGAAGGGCTTCTGGGTCGAGTTCGACAGCACTGCCCAGGAGCAGCGGGCCCCCGCCGCCGAGGGGGGCAGCTCCGAGGGCGACGGCAGCGCGGCGGGCTCCGTGTGCGGGGCGCCGCGGCCGAAGGCGCAGCAGGTGTCGGAGTGGGCGGCCTCCGCGACGAAGGTCAAGGACGAGGCCTCGGCGGCGGGGGGCGACTCCCAGAAGCGCGCCTTTTTAACATTGTAATATCTGTGTTAAATTTGATTTTCCCCTCTCTTTTTCTTTCTTTTGAATTAATTTTATCACTTTTATATTGGTCTTTTTTTTTTTTTTTTTTCAATATACTTATTTCCTTGTTACTTTGTCTTTTATTTTTTTTTTGCATCTTTTTTTTTTAATTTTTTTTTCTTGTTTTTAGTTTGTATTCGTTGTGTCAATTGTACCTTCCACCTTAATTTCAATCGTTTTAATTCTCTTTTTATAATCAAGCACAACTCCAGGGGTCTAAAGCCTGGAGGCCTGAAGCGCGCGAAGCGCTGCGTCGAGAAGCGCACCTTGCGCTAGCACGGAGGCTGAGCTGCTCACACCGCGAAAAGAGATGATGTGATGATGGAGCTGGGAGGAGGAGGAGGAGGAGGAGGCGGAGGAGGAGGGGGGGAGGAGGAGGAGGGGAAGGGGGGGGCGGGGGGAGGATGAGGGGGAGGAAAAAAGGAAGGAAACAGGTGGGGAGGAAGGGGGGAAATGAGGATTAATATGATGAGGAGGAGGAGGCAGAGGAGGGGGAGGCGGAGGGGAGGGGGGAGGAGGCAGGGCGGGGGGAGAGGCGGAGGAGGTAGGAGGAGGAGGATGAAAGAGGAGGAGGGAGGAGGAGAAGGAGTACGGAGGAGGAGGAGAGATGAAGGAGGATGAGGGAGGATGAGGCAGGAAGGAGGGAGAGGGCAGGAGGGGCAGGAGGGAGAGGACGGGGACAGAAGGATGGAAGGCAGGAAGGCTGAGCAGCCAGCTTGTGCCCTTTTGTTTCAGGAGGGGGGTGAGAGGGCCACCCATCTGGCCCCTCCCCCCTCAGCGAGGCGAGCGTCGCCTTGGGAGGCCGCCGCGAGGGGGCGCGAGCGGCGCGGCGGAGGGGCGTCAGAACCATATCCTCCGCCTCTCCTTGCTTATCATCCTCTTCCTCTTCTCCCCCATCAGCCCCTTCATCTCCAAGGGTAGGGGGGGGGGGGGGGGGGGGGGGCGGGGTAGGGAGGAAATGGGTGTGATCGGGAGGGGGGGAATAGGAAGGGATAGGTAGGAGGGATGGGGAGGGATGGGGAGGGATAGGGAGGGATAGGGCGGGATAGGGAGGGATAACGAGAGATAGGGAGAGATGGGGATGGATGCGGAGGTATAGGGAGGGACGGGGAGAGATAGGGAAGGAGGGAGGGGTAGGGATGGATAGGGAAGGATAGGGGGATGATGAGGAGGAGGGGGCCAATGATGATGGTGATGATGTTTGCGTGCGCGCATAGTAAATGATGATGGCTGAACGGCTGCGGGGGCGACGACCCCGAACATGACTTCATTGTAAAGTCTGTCCTGGCGAAATTTGCCGTCGCGTGCTTCCGTGGTCGTGTAAAGCCGTCGATGTGCTTCGGCGCGCGTCGGAAAAGGGAGAGCTGCTTTGAAAAAGGGCCGACCAAGTGGCCCACGCGGCCACGAGTTTCGTTCATGAGTGTCCTCGACGATGTCTTGCTTTTGGTTGTGTCGTTGGTGAGTGTCCTCGCCGATTCTCTTGCTTCCAGTTGTGTCGCCGCTGATCGTCTTGACGGCAGAAGTGCAAAACGAAGTGTCGCCGCTGATCGGTTTGACTTTCCGCCCCCCCTACAGTTCTGACCCCTCGGGCGCACTCGAATCAGGGCAGTGGTCTTTCAGCGGGACCATTGCACAGGGAGCACGGAGCACGGAACACGGAACAGGGAGCAGGGAGCATGGAGCAGGGAACAGGGAGCACGGAACAGGGAACGGGGAGCAGGGAGCAGCGTGCAGGGAGCAGGGAACAGGGAGCAGGGAGCAGGGAACCGGGAGGAGGGAGGAGGGAAGAGGAAGGACGAGGAGGGAAGAGGAGGGAAGAGGAGGGAGGAGGGAAGAGGGAGGAGGGCGGAGGAGGAGGAGGCGGTAGGAGGAGGCGGAGGAGGAGGAGAGAGAGGAGGAAGAGGAGAGAGGAGGAGGAGGGAAGAGGAGGAGGAGGAGGAGGAGGAGGAGGAGGAGGAGGAGGAGGGGGAGGAGGTGTGGGGGGAGGGGAGGGGGAAGGGAAGGGGGAGGGGAGGGGAGGGGGGAGGGGGAGGGGGAGGGGGAGAGGAGGAGGAGGGCCAGGACGAGACGAGGACGAGACGAGGAGGAGGGAGGAGGAGACGAGGAGGAGGGAGGGGAGGCGGAGAGGCGGAGGAGGCGGAGGAGGCGGAGGAGGCGGAGGAGGAGGTGGAGGAGGAGGAGGAGGAGGAGGAGGAGGTGGAGGAGGAGGAGGAGGAAGAGGAGGAGGAGGAGGAGGAGGAGGAGGAGGAGGGAGGAGGATGAGGAGGAGGATAATATGAATAATAAGAGGAGGCGGCGGAGGAGGAGGAGGAGGATCACGGCTCTCAACTGAGAGCGGTGTGATGACCTCAGGGCTCAGAGTTTGAGGGACGCGACGATGATGATGACGATGTTGATGTTGATGATGTTGCTGATGATGATGATGATGCTGATGATGATTGTGATGGTGATGGTTGTGGTGATGGTTGTGGTGATGGTGATGAGGATGAGGATGATGATGATGATGAGGATGATGATGATCATGATGATGATGATGATGATGATGATGATGATGATGATGATGGTGGTGGTGGTGGTGGTGGTGGTGGTTATGATGGTGGTTGTGGTGGCGATGATGGTGGCGGTGGTGGTGGTGATGATGATGATGATGATGATGATGATGCTGATGATGCTGATGATGATGATGATGATGATGATGATGATGATGGATGATGGTGGTGGTGGTGGTGGCGGTGGTGGTGGTGATGATGATGATGATGCTGATGATGCTGATGATGATGATGATGATGATGATGATGATGATGATGATGATGGATGATGGTGGTGTTGGTGGTGGTGGTGGTTATGATGGTGGTGTGGTGGTGATGATGGTGGCGGTGGTGGTGGTGATGATGATGATGATGATGATGCTGATGATGCTGATGATGATGATGATGATGATGATGCTGATGCTGATGATGATGATGATGATGATGATGATGATGATGATGATGATGGTGGTGGTGGTGGTGGTGGTTATGATGGTGGTTGTGGTGGTGATGATGGTGGCGGTGGTGGTGGTGATGATGATGATGATGATGATGATGATGATGATGCTGATGATGATGATGACGGCACCTTCAAGTGCGGCCTGGCACCCGGACAATTTGGACATCCATGTCCATTTTGTTTGGAGACGGCTTGGGCCCTCTGGAGGCCCAAGTCGGACAAATGCCTCCAAGACCCTCCAAGACGGCCGAAAAGGGCCCCCAGGCTGCCCAAGAGGCCGACACGGCTCCCAAGAGCGAGCGGCAACGTAAGCATCTCTGGGCACGAGGACTCTGAACAGAGATCGGTGACGTAACGAGCTCTTCCAAGCAAGGCTCCCAACAGAGAGCGGTGACGTAACACGCGCTTGCCAGCAAGGCTCCCAAGAACGAGCGGTGACGCAACAAGCTCTTACCACCAAGGCTCCCAAAAGCGAACGGTGCCATGAGCCATCTCGGGCAGGTTGCTGAAGCGCTCTTTCCGTTTCCGAGACGGCCCCAGGTTTAATAGCCCTCCAGGGGCCCAAGACGGCCCAAGTGGCGTCCCATACGGCCCAAGATGCGCCCAAGAGGCCCCCAAGACGGCCCAAGAAAGGTCCAAGAGGGCTCCAAGACGGCCCAACGCGCCCCCAGAAAGCCCCAAACCAGGACACGACGGCCCAGGAGGGCTCCAGCAATGTCCAAGAGGCCCCCAAGACGACCCCCAAGAGGACCTCCGCAGCACCATAGCCATTTTTCCTTGCGACCCTAAGGGGGGTCCAGCTGAAAGGGACTTGTGCAGTAGATTGGGGACAATTGGATTGCAAATGTATTGCGCCAGGGGGTTCTATTGCATTGTACTGCGGCGGATGTATTGCACGCGAAAACCCAGCAATACGCTTGCGCCCTGGAATGTATTGCACGCCCCGAATCTGTTGCAACCCCACAAATCTATTGCACCAGATCTATCGCACCACCCCCTTGTCGCTGGGCCCCCTTTTGGGTCAACTCGAATTTCGGCTCAAGATCCCATCCGAGGGCACAGGATCCCAGCTGCATTTTCGCGGGGTGGTCATGTTGAGCGAACCGTTGCGAGGCGATCACAATGCGTGGTCTTTGTTTCCAACGAACACGCAAGACCCAGTGTGGCGCATCCTGAGACTCGCCGCCCCAGCATTGCGCCATTGGTGGCGGCTGACAACAGATACACATTACCTCGCTTCGCCAACAAGCCGGAGAGTGTTTTGGAGGTTGTATTGGATTTCCTTGGTTTGCTGGCTGGCCCTGTGGCTTTGCTTAATTTTTGCAGGGGTGGTTGAGTTTAACATTGTCGGGCAAACCGTAACCGAGGCGCTGGTGATGTTGCTGCTGCTGTCCTTGGCTATGACGACATTGACAACGACATCCTTGTGGTCGGATTTCTTCATAAGCAGTGTATATTGTGGGATCTTTTTGTTCGTCTGCAAACGACACCCCCTGCTTGGTGTGGTCACACAACTTCCCTTATACTGCATGGCGTTCTGGGCCTTTGGATTGCACAGCTGCGTCATTGCGCAGTTTAGCATTTCTGGAGTTATCTGCTGTTGCGTGTATGTTCCTAGCGTGGATGTAGTCATCAAGGTCCAGGCACTTGTAGTGCTATTTCCAATACTCCTCCTAGAGTGGCAGTCAGTGTCCCATTTCAGCAAGATCCAAAAGGTCTTGAATGTTTCGACAGACGGCCAGGTTATCATAAACAGGTACACCGGCATCGTTGTCAGCATGAGCGACAACATGTCGGATTTATTGAGCGGAAGCGCCGTTGGAACACAATTCAACCATTTCGTTCACAGAAGTGCCTGCTCTCAAGCCGATCAACGATTGTGCAAGAGTAGGGGGGATCCCTCGGAGACTTTTATGGTCACGCTTAATTGCGTGCCCAATGGCATACCAACGCAAGAGTTCGAGGCTCGCATCATACCTTATGAAGTGACTGGGCCTCTTCTGCACTTCTGTCTTCAAGTGGTGGGCGAGAAGAGATTTTGCCATCAATATTCCGCCGAACAACCGCCCATGAACAAATTGGGGAGCTCTCCGAGCTCTCCTCCAGGCAGCGCCACGCCATGCGACGTTGAGCAGGCACCAATGATCACTTCGAGTGCCATTTTGGCCCAGATCGAATGCCACGCCGCACAAGAATCTATCGCGGCACCAGTCGCGCACGAAGGGCATCCGGGACACAAAGGTGGGAATCTCGGAGATGGTCATCAATCGAGGCGCGGTCGAGATGAAGCAGCATCGCGCGCGGAGCGCAGGGGCCATGGCCAGCTGGTCCGACACGAGAGCCGCCAGAGGTCGGCCGCGCACCGAAGGCACCAGAGCGACGGCGAGACGTCGGGGCAACTCGGAGACAGCGACTCATCCTCCCGCGCGGAGACCTTCTCGACCACCCCGCCCGGCATGGTGGACCCGAGCGCCGCGGAGAAGGGGACGGAGGAACGCCAGGCGCCCTTCTCCTCCTCCTCCTCCTCCTCCTCCTCCTCCTCCTCCTCCTCCTCGTTCCTCCTCCTCCTCTTCCTTCTCCTCCTCCTCCTCCTCCTCTCTCATTCTCCTTCTACCTCCTCCTCCTCTTGTTCCTCCTCCTCTTCCTCCTCCTCCTCCTCCTCCTCTCCTTCCTCCCCTTCCCTCCTCCTCCTCCTCCTCCTCTTCCTCGTCCTCTTCCTCCTCCTCCTCCTCCTCCTCCTCCTCCTCCTCAAGCAATCTCCGTAGCCATTTTGGCTAAAGCGTTCGCATGCCTGGTGCGCGCCCCGCCGTCCCCGCGATGGCCGCGCGTCGGGCTAGAGGGGCTCTGGATCCCGCGACGGCTGCCCGCCTGGTCGAGGCGGCCGTGCGCGGGGTGCTCGGGGCGCCGCGGCGCACGGTGGCGGCGGTGACTCGCTCGGCGGTCTCGGCGGCGGCGTTCGCCGTTTCGGGATCGTCACCGCCCGCTGATGACGCTGGCACCGACCTGGATCAAGGTGTTCGTCCTGAAGCTGACCCTGCTGCGCTTGCTGCGCGGCGGCGCCGCCACCGCCGAGCGGCGAGGCGCGCGGCTGCCAGGCTAGACACCGAGACTAACGAGGCGAAGAAGGAGGGTGCTGGGGCGGCCGCTGGGGCGGCCAGCGCGGGCCTCGCGCTCGTGCAGGTGGCTGGGGCTGCTGCCGACGCGCCCGACATCGACGCCGAGCTGGACGACGACTCCTGGGCTGATGGACTGCTACGCGGGGGTCCTGCCGTCGCCGCCGCTGGCGTCGCTGCAGGGCTGAGCGGGCGGCGCCGCGGCTGGGAGTTGGGGCAGGCCGCGGCTTCGACGGAGCCTGCTGCGCCGAGCGGGCCTGGGGTTGCTGTTGCTGGTGCGGCGGCGGCGACGGGCATCGAGGTGCGGCAGTTCGTGCCGTGGGAGTCCAGGGGGCCTGCGAAGGAGGACGTGCGGGTGCGGGTCACGCGGGCCCTCGGCATGCCGCCCTCTTCCTGGTGCTCGAGGAGGCCCTGGTGTGGTTCCTCGTGTTCGCGGTCGTGGAGCTTGCCCTCCTCGGCTCGCCGGCGTGGTGCGTCGACTACGCCTTCCGCGTCTTTTTCGGCAGCGCGGCCGGGGGGTCAAGGTCTGGTCAGGTCCAGGCCTGGCCCCCCGCTGACCCAGTGCTTCGCTGGCGTTGATGTTGCAAACAAATCCTCTCAAGCAATCTCGGGTCGAGCATTTTGCGCCCGCCCGAGGGCCCAGAACCTTCTAGTGGGCGCTTGGGGGGGGCGCGAGGCCACCTTCGCTTCGTTGCAAAGGCGCTCCTCGCGGCGAATCTGGGCAATTTCTTTCACAGGTACGGGATGGCCACCGAGGGTGGCAGCGGTCTTCGCCCCTGGAGCACCTGCGAGGCATGCCATCGGCACGACTGGAACGGCGTGCTGATCCTGCAGGACTGCCGCTGCGGAGGCTGCAACCGCCAGGCCAAATAGCATAAGACGAAGAGCGGTGGCGGCAAGGCCAACGGCAAGGGGGCGCCCCCAGCGTCGGGTGGCTACAACTGAGGCTCCAACCAGCTCCTGCTCGCCTCGCAGACCCCGCCCGCCTTTCAGGAGCAGTTCCTCAGCCAAGCGGTCGCGGGGCTGAAGGACCCCGTGGTGCGCGCGGCCCTAGCCTCGGCGCTGCAGCAACAGTAGCAGCAGGCGCAGCCCCCGCCCGCGGAGAACGTCTCTCCAGCGGGGGCGGTGCGCAGGGCCGAGGGCGCTTGGCGCGACGCCAACACTAAGTACGACCAAGCCCTGGTTCAGGTGTCCAGGTGCAAGAAGCAGCTCGCGCGGGCGGAGGGGCGGAAACGGGAGACCGTTCACCAGCTCGCCGCCGCCGGGCCGGGCAAGCGCGCGGTGGCCTCGGCGCGGGCGGCCGAGATGGGGCTCAGCGCCGAGCAGCCCCACCGCCCGAAGAAGGAGGAGAAGGAGCACAGCAGTCAGCAGCTCTCCGCCGTGACCTGGGACGCGGATTTCTCCCAGCAGTTAGACGCGGGCCTCTTCGAGCGCGACGACTCCGAGAGGCAGGAGTTCAAGCGCTTGGAGGCAGAGCTCCTTGACACCAAGACGATGATGTCGGTCCGCAGTAGCGAGGTCGCGGCCTGGCGGGCCCGCGTGCTCGGGATGCAGACCAGCATCCGCGAGCGCATGGCGAAGAAGAGGAAGGGCGAGGGCGGCGCGCAGCATGGGGGCGCCCCAGCAGCACCAGCGTCACCATCCCCTGCTCCGCCGCCTGGGCCCGCCGCTGCGGCCTCGCCCGAGAAGACGGTCACCACCCTCGACGTGGGCGAGGCGTCCCTCCAGGCAGAGGTTGAGCGCATCAGGGAGGTGAAGCAGCGGGCCGCTCAATCCGCGGCCAAGGCGGCTTCGGCAGCTGCCGCCGCGCCAGCGGGAGGGGGCCCCCCAGGCGCCGCGGCGAGCGGCTCGGCGGCGGGCGCCAAGTGACTCACGCCTCGGCCTCCAGCGGGGGCCTTGCCAGGTGAGCAGCCCTCTCCGCGCTCTCACCGGTCTTTCGAGGAGATCGAGGATGCCGCGCAGCCACTCACCACGCGAAGTTCTAGCTCGGCACTTTCCGCAGCACCGGTGGAGCCTCGGGCGGTCGAGGTCTGGGCTGGCGCCGCAGTGACTGCCTCGCAGTCTCTTTGCCAAGTTTCCAGCGGCCAACTTTCGGCAGGGGAAAGTTCGGCTGCGCAGGTCTTCGATAGTAACATTACCATCCTTGGGGCAAAGAGCTGGAAACATCTCCAGCACCTCAAGGCTTGTGGCACGTTTCAGTACTTCTCTCTTTTGCGAGTCTCACCTCGGAAAAGCCCCAGGTTTGCATCGGGAAAAGCGTTTCCGCGCTCGTTTGTCAATTTCGTTCGATAGTCTGGCAAAAAGTGCTCCACCGCTGCTGGCGTAGAGCGAGCCGGCGAGGGATGGGGATATTTCCTTGTGGTGGCCACAGGCAGGTGCACCATTCTCGCCAGCAGCAGGCCATAGCGCCCCTATGCGCAGATGGGCCCTCCTCCCCCTCCTCCTCCTGCGATGGCCCCCCCCCCGTCCTCCTCCACCTGCAAGGGCGCAGCTTGGTCCTGGTGGCGTTCTATGGCCTTTGCTCCCGAGGCTTCAGTGGCGACAACCTCCGCCGTTTCGCCCGTCTGGGGGCCCTCCTCTTCCAACTCCTCCAACTCCTTTGGATTGTCCTCGGTGATTTCAACTTCTCCCCGCGGGATTTAGACAGGGGCGGATTTCTTGCGAAGGTGGGAGGGCAGATCATCCAGCCCCCCACCGAGACCATCTGCGCTGGGTCAGGAGGTGCTTCATTGATCGATTATGCGGTGGTCTCACAATCTGCCCTTCTTCGCATTCTTGCCTTTCTCTCCATCCGCGACGTTCCGTGGAAGCCCAATGCTGCGCTCGCTCTCCAACTGCGAGGGCAAGGGGCCCAGCTTGTCACCCGCCCCCTTCTCCCCCCCCGAAAGCCTTCTCCAAGCCCGGCGCCCCAGGGCCGAAAGCCAGCCAGGCCCCGAGGCCCCCTGCGCCCGCGCCGAGCGGCTCGCCCACCAGGCGCCCGCCCGAGCTAGGCACGCAGCATCCGCGCAGGAGTGTCGCGGGGACTTGCTGGGGGGGAGGGGGGGGGGGGGGGGGGGGGGGGGGGGGCCTCTGTCTCTGCGTAAGTCAGTTTAGTGAATAACACCAGTCAGCCATCGCCTGATGGGGCCCCCCTGGATGCGAATCTTCGAGGAGGCACCCAGTTTGACTTTTGGGGTGAGGAGAACGACCCTTGGGCTGACATTCTTAACTTTATCGGCTTCCCTTCCTCCCCCCATCGCTCTTCGAGTGTTGTCTCGGGCGACGGCTCTGAGGATCGGGGGGGGGGGGGGGGGGCAGGTGGGCCCTGCGAGTTACCCCGCTGCTTCTGTTGATGGTGCCCCGAAGGATGATGCAGCGCCGCCCCCCCCCCCCCCCAGCGAGACGCCCCGGGGGCCCAGCGCCTCGCCGAGCGGATGCGACGCTCTTGCGGTTGCTAACCCCACCTTTGCTCCCCCCGCAGCCATCTGGGAAGAGGCCCAAGCTCCCTTCGGTTTCGCACCCCGAACACTTTCTGATGTTTGGGCCCCCGCGCGGGCTTCAATCGCTTTCCAAGTGGGTCAAGATTGCGTTTTGCCCGTTAGCAGTGTTTTCAGCGCATGGATCCAGTCAGTCGAGAAAGCTGTTCGGACGCATCATCACATTAAGGGTGGCCCCGGCCCGTCGAGAACCAGTGGCCCTCAGCTGGTCACCAGGGAGGTTCCGCAGTCTGAGAATTTTCGGGGCATGCCTGTTCCTCGACGTGGCCTCCAGCTGGTGGGCCAGAGCCCACGCGATAGTCAGGAAGTCCGCCCGCCATGCTCGCCGCGGGAACGGTGCTCAGCAGGTCGCTACTTTCATCATGTGTGGCGTCAAGCTGCCAGGCCAAGCCCCGCCTGGGATCGGCGCTTCTCTCGGGAAGCGGACGGGCGAGCGGTTGTGGGATGATTGGCAGAAGTGTTGCAGTCAATTGGACGATGCTAGTGCTGATGACTTGGATGCCAGAGAGGCGGAGTTGTCTCGTCTCACGTTGCGCTCCCAAGCTCGGGCGATGGCGTCGTCTCTTTCAGATTTCAAGCAGTGGGTTACTCAGCATGATGGTACAGGGGCGCTGTTCAAGGCGTCCAAGGAAGAGCCGCTTCCCACGGACGAGTTGGACACCCCCGACGGAGCCCTTCACCATCCCCAGGACGTCATCGACGCGAAGGCTCGGAACTGGCATAGGCTGCGGTCTACCCCGCACCCCGCCACCATGCCCGAGGTTCACGCGACTTTCCAGGAGATCATGGAAGTGGCCATGCATGAGGACCTTCCACCGATCTCGGTCGTGACATACGTGGAGCCTTGCGGGCGATGAAGCCCAAGGCTGGGCGGGGACTTGATCGCCTGTCACCTCTGGACCTAGATCGGCTACCAGTCGCTACCGTCACTTCTCTTGCCACCCTACTCACTATGCTCGAGGAGTGCATGACATGGCCGCGGCAACTCACGTCTGTGCTGGGCCGTTTGCTCCCGAGGAAGAGTTCTGGAGAACGGATACTTGGGCTGGCTTATTTATTGTGCCGTGTATGGTCTTTGGTTCGAGAACCGGCTGCGCGCGGTTGGTCTTCCGACAATTGTTCGTCTTGGGGCGTTGCGATCCAAGGGGCTTCAGTTTTCAAAAAAGCGTGCATGAAGGCCCTCCGCGAAGAATTGCACGCTCGTCCCAAGATGGCCAGTGGACACGCACTGTGCGATGTCAAGAGCTTCTATGAAATGATTGAATGGCCCGTCCTGGTCAAAGGAGCTCTGAAGCACGGCCTTTCTGCTCCCATACTTATGCTTGAACTCCAAGTTTGTGCTGGCCCCCACCTCTCAGGCCATTTCGATGCAATCTCGGATGCTTTCCAGGCCACTCGGTCGATCATCCAGGGCCTGCGAAGCGGCGCGCGCTTCGCTAGATGCATGACACATCGGGTCATGGAGGCGGCGACGACAGCGCGCCCTGTGCTGTCGGAGAGGCTCTGGATAGATGGCCTGTCCGAGAGCGCTGCGGGCTCTCCCTCGGCAGTTGAAGATGCGCTCGTCGGCGGAGTCTCTGCGGTCAGCGAGGCTTTGCAGGGCGAGCGCCTGAAGCTTCGCGCCCAAGAGTGCGATCGCATGCCCCGACGTGAGCGCAGCCCGTGCTATCGTTCAACGGCTCAGGAGGCGAGGCGTCGCGGTTCCGGTTTCCAAGCAAGCTGCCTTCTTAGGTGTCAATCTGGGAAGTGGTCGGCGGCTCGCCAGGGCGACAAAGACCAAAAGGATGGCTCACACGCGCAAGCAGCACACGAGGATCAAGAAATTTGTCTCTGTATCTAGACGGTGCAAGACTCTCCTGAAGGTGGAGCGCGCTGGACTTCAGATCGGCGCCGCGCACGGCCACGAGGTCCACAGCCTGCCGCGCGCCGCCTTGTGCACATTGCGTCGGAGATGGGCCATCGCTGGTGGCCACAGGCATGGGCGTTGCTTGGCCACGCTCCTTGATCAACGGGCCCCAGGGGCGGACCCTGGGCACAGCCTTCCCCGACGAGTTCTTCGGATGTGGATTCGTTCATGGATCGAAGCCCCTCGAGCGCATGGCCCTGTCTTCCGAGTGTGGCAAGACACTGTCGTATTTGAGGTCGGTTCTCCCTGCCCCATCGTGCTCGCCATGTCAGAGGTTCCGCTGCTGCAGTGATCCGTTCCCTCCTCCAGGCAAACTGGGATCCCCAGTCGCCGTGTAAGTGGTGCCTGCCCGCCGATGAAGATGGGGTTGCTCGGGGTTGGTCTTTTCGTGATCAGCTTGAAGGAGTTGACCAGGCGGAGGGTCTGCTATATGATTTCTCCCAGTCGCTCCAGGGGCAGCAGCGGCAGAAGGCTTCGGAGTTGGTTTGTGGTTCATGTCTCGAGCAAGGGGTCGACTTTTTCAGCGCGAGGGAGTTTCTCTACCAGCTGGGGCAGCTCCCAGACGGTCGCCGACAAGCTGAGCTCATGCTGGTCATCGCGGTCGGGGGGGCCTGGCCTGCCAGTCGTAGGCGGGAAGCTGGATATTCTGACTCAGCTCTCTGCCCAAGATGTCGCATGGCCGTCGAAGATCCGTTGCACCGCTGCTACCTCTGCGAAGGCAACAGTGAGTCCTCGCCTGCCGTTTCCAAGTCTAGCCACCTGGTGTTTAGAGCCCAGGTTCAGTCTGCTGGTGAAGAATGTGTTTTCTCAGGGGGCTGACCCCCGCCCCTTGGACCCGCGTGGGCCCGCGCGTGGAAGAGGAGTGTTGGTCGGCCCATCCAGGAGCGAGTGCGACCGGTACCACCTTTCAGAACAGGTTCGTCTGATCATCCAGTTGTCCTGCGCGGGGATGCCTCGGGAGGCCCCGACGCCCGCGACCCTCGGCTCGGACGCGTGGGGGGTGCGTATGCTGATTCGTCTAAGTGGCGCCCCGATGATCGCGTTTCTTTTCTGTTCGGACCACTCCCAGTGACAGTCCAAACAGTTGCCAGAGGAGAGCTATACGCGCTCTCTGTGGCAATCCGCCTCACTCGGGGCCCCTTAGTTTTTGTCACCGATAACGACGGAGTTTGTTCGGGGTGGTGGGATTGCTCGCGCACCAACCCCAGAGGCTCCAACGTTGATTTGCGGCGGCAGATTGCTAAGGAGTTTTCTGCACAGGAGAGGGACCCTGGGGGGATAGTCGTCCTCAAAGCCCCTCCATTCGAGAGCCCTCGGAGATCCTCCAGCGTGATATTCCGAGATGGATGGTCGAAGGCAATCTCTTCGCCGACTATTTTGCAGGACAGACCGCCTTGCAAGCCCGAGTCCCCGAGTCTCAACGTCATTGGGGTGAATTTAGTCGAAGCCGATGCCTGTCGCATCCGCCATCGTCTTTTACGGGCAACCCTGGAGGTTGCCATGGGGAGAAAAAGCGGGCCTCCCCTGCTGCTGCTCGTACTTCCACTCCGCCCTCCCCCCCCCCCGCCGTGGTGGCCTTTTTTGGCTCTGCCCACGCCATAAGTGATTGCGGGATGAAGTGTCAACTGTGCCGTGTGTGTCCACGACTGCGGCGGCGAGGGGGGAATTTTTTAAATCAGAATGTTTCCAGCTTGTTAGGTGCACCAGTCACGCGCTTCGGGTCCCTCAGGGGCGGCGCTTACATCTCGCTGGTGGATGGGTCGACCCTTCTCATAACATGATGTTTCACGAAGCCCTTGCTGTCTGGTTTTGCGCGTCATGTGGATGTGTCGCCCAGTCAAGGACCGTCGGTCTTGCCCAGGCTTGCAAGCCCCCGTCCAGGACGGGCAAGGAATACCTCGACCGCATCAGCCGAGGCCCCCCGCCCAAGGCGATGGGGAAGGCTAGGCGCCCAGGTGAGGTCTGACTTTATTCGAACTCGCTTCGCGAGAGGTCTGAGTCTCTGAGCCTCCTCCTCCTCCTCCTCCTCCTCATTTTCCTCCTCTTCCTCCTCCTCCTCCTCCTCCTCCTTTCCCTCCTCCTCCTCCTCACTCCTCCTCCTCCCTCTCCTCCTCCTCCTCTCTCCTTCCTCCTCTCTCCCCCTCCTCCTCCCTCCTCCTCCTCCTCCTCCTTCCTCCCTCCTCCTCCCTCCTCCTCCTCCTCCTCCGCTCCCCCCTCCTCCACCTCCTCCTCCCCTCCTCCCTCCTCCTCCTCCCTCCTCCTCCTCCTCCTCCCCTCCTCCTCCTCCTCCTCCCTCCTGCCTCCTCCTCCTCCTCCTCTTCCTCTCCTCCTCCTCCTCCTCCTCCCTCCTCCCTCCTCCTCCCTCCTCCTCCTCTCCTCCTCTCCTCCCTCCTCTCCTCCTCCTCCCCTCCTCCTCCTCCTCCTCCTCCTCTCCTCCTCCTCCTCCTCCTCCTCCTCCCTTCCTCCTCCCCTCCCCCCCTCCTCCTCCCAGGGGCGCAGACCACCGCGGGGGCGCCCGGGGGCAGCTGCCGCCGCGGCGCCGCGCCCGGGCGGGGAGCGCGCCCTGGCGGGCCGGGCCTTGGGAACGCACAGCAGGGGCGCCAGGGCAGGCCAGCCGCCGGGCGCTGCGCCGCCGCCCGCCGTCGGGGCGCCCGGTTCGGTGTCTGTTCCTGGGAGCCTTGGGCGGCGACCTTGAAATCAGCCTTGCCGGCATTGTGGACCGCGCGGGGGCCGCATTTGGCCCCTCCTGCTCCTGCTCCCCCCTCCCGTTCCCCCTCCCCCTCCTCGTTCCCCGAGCCCCCACGAGTCCAGTCCAAGTCTGGTCCAAATTTGTTCCAAATCCGGTCCAAATCAGGCCCAAATTGGACAGTGCCGGGGGCCACGCAGGCTCCCATGGAACGGACGCCAAAGCCTGGGAGGAGTTACCAGTCTGAAACATCACATATCCCTAGCCCTGTGCGTGGCATCGCCTCACCCCGATGCCGATCTGCAGGCGTCCCTCAGTTCCTGAGGGGCGCATCCTCAAGGCATTGTCCTCGCCGTTTCTGCCCGCCCGTTTCAGGGACATGGGGACATGAGCTCGAGACTGGTTAAGGAGGCCGAACCAGCTCATGCTCGTGCGGAGCGCCTGGGCGGGGGGCCCACGGGCGCCCCGCACGAGACCACAGCCGGCAAGCGCGGGCGGCGCGGGGCCGCCGGAGCGGCAGCTGGGGCTCGCGCGGGCCCCGGGCGTCTCGGGCGCGCCGTGCGCGCAGGCGCCGCACCGCTCGGGGGCTCCCGCGGAGCGGGGCGCTGCGGCGGGGTCTGCAGGGCCTCGCGTTGCGTATTTCTGGGTCTGAGCTCGATGGTCTCCTGTGCTCGAATTCCCCTGATATGAAGTCGGGTCTGTCCTTCTAATTACAGGAACCATGTTCAAACATGGTTAGCAATTGTCTGGGGGCGATGTCCCCCAACCATCCTGTGGTGCTGGGTCCTCGTTGTGAAGAGACGGTCCCCGCGTCCCTGCTCTCCTGTCCTCTCCTCTCCTCTCCTCTCCTCTCCTCTCCTCTCCTCGTCCCTCCTCCCCCTCCCCCCCCTCCCTCCTCCATGCGTTTCATCCACCCAGTACAGCGCTTCGTAGCCGCATAGGGAGCTCCACCTGCGGCCCCAGTGGGGGTGGCCACTGCGCCCGCCATAGCCAGTGCAGCGCTTCGTGGCCCCATAGGGAGTTCCACGTCAGGCCCCAGTGGGGGTGGCCACATGCGTCCGCCACACTCAGTACAGCGCTTCGTGGCCCCATAGGGAGCTCCACCTGCGGCCCCAGTGGGGGTGGCCACGTGCGTCCGCCACACTCAGAAAGGGTGTCGTGGCCCCATAGGGAGCTCCACGTAAGGCCCCAATGGGGGTGGCCACATGCGTCCGCCACACTCAGTACAGCGCTTCGTCGCCCTATAGGGTGCTCCATCCAAGGCCCCAATGGGGGTGGCCACATGCGTCCGCCACACGCAGTACAGCGCTTCGTGGCCCCATAGGGAGCTCCACCTGCGTTCCCAGTGGGGGTGGCCACATGCGTCCGCCACACCCAGTACAGCGCCTCGTGGCCCCATAGGGAGCTCCACGTAAGGCCCCAGTGGGGGTGGCCACATGCGTCCGCCACACGCAGTATAGCGTTTTGTGGCCCCATAGGGAGCTCCACAGAAAGACCCCAGTGGCACCGCCCGCATGCGTCGTCCACGACCCGGTACTGCACTTCGTGGCCCCATTGATTGGGAGCCACACGTAAGGCCCCATTCGGGGTGGCCACATGCGTCCGCCACACCCAGTACAGCGCTTCGTGGCCCCATGGGGAGCTCCATCTGCGGTCCCAGAGGGGGTGGCCACATGCGTCCGCCACACGCAGTACAGCGCTTCGTGGCCCCATCGGGAGCTCCACTTGCGGCCCCAGTGGGGGTGGCCACGTGCGTCCGCCACACCCAATACAGCATTGCGTGGCCCCATAGGGAGCTCCACGTAAGGCCTCAGTGGGGGTGGCCACATGCGCCCGCCACACCCAGTACAGCGTTTCGTGGCCGCATACGGAGCTCCACCTGCGGCAGCAGTGGGGGTGGCCACATGCGTCCGCCACACGCAGTACAGCGCTTCTTGGCCCCATAGGGAGCTCCACCCGCGGCCCCAGTGGGGGTGGCCACATGCGTCCGCCACACCCAGTACAGCGTTTTGTGGCCCCATATGGAGCTCCACGTAAGGCCTCAGTGGGGATGTCCACATGCGTCCGCCACACTCAGTACATGGCTTCGTGGCCCCATAGGGAGCTCCACGTAAGGCCCCAGTGGGGGTGGCCACATGCGTCCGCCACACCCAGTACAGGGTCTCGTGGCTCCATAGGGAACTCCAGAGAAATACCCTGGTGGCACCGCTCGCATGCGTCGTCCACCACCCAGTATTGCATTTCGCGGCCCCATTGATTGGGAGCTTCACCAGGGGCCCCAGTGGCACCGCCCGCATGCGTCCCCCCCACCTGGTACAGCGCTTCGTGGCACCGTAGGGAGATCCAGTGGCCACCAAGGGCCCCGGTGGCAACGCCCGCATGCGTCCCCCCTCCCCTGGCCCCATAGGAGCTCCACCGAAGGTCCCAGTGGCACCGCCCACATGCGTCGGCCACCACCCAGCGCAGCGTTTCGTGGCCCTGTAGGGGATTCCACAAAACGACCCCGGCGGCACCGCCCGCATGCGTTTCTCCCAACCAATATCGCGTTTCGTGGCCTCATCGGGATCTCCAACGAGGGGCACCGCCCGCATGCGTCAGCCACACCCAGGACATCGTTTCGAGAGGCCCGCCGAAGGCCCCAGTGGCACCTCCCGCATGCGTCTCCCCCACCCATGACGGCACATTCCTCGCGCGTTTCATGGCCCCATAGGGAGTTCCACCGAAAGCGGCACCCACAACGCGTTTATCACAACTGCATATGGCTGGGTCCTTCGCCAGGATCATTTTAGTATGTTTGAGTATGTTTTAAAAGTATGTTTCAAGTATCATCTTCTCCCGCCTAAAACTCCCCTGTAGGGGGACAGGCCCGACCTGACACGAATGATCGTCCCCCGGGTCAGGTTTTTGAAGGCTTTTTTGGGGGGGGAGCGGGGGGGATCGGTTTATCAGGGCGATTGCTTCAAAACGAAGACGAGGGGGGTACAAAATATGAAGGCCTCCCGTTGACCAAGGGGTCCAGAACATTAGGTTGCCATTGAAGGGGGAGTCCGGCTTTTTAGGGGGGGGGGGGGGGGGGCGAGTTGTAAGGGATTTCGAGTACGGTGCAAGAGCCGCGCGCCAACTCTAGGCACGGCTTGTGGGCACAGCTGTCGCCGTTGAACCTAGATTCCGGCGGGGCGTGCGCGGCCATTCGATTGCGAAACGGGCACATACCGACAGTGCCCGACGTTGAAGCAGAAAAGCAGGGCCCATCACGACTATGAAACAGAAGCGTATCCCTCGCGAACAAAGAAGAGGGAGAGGAAGGAGAGGAGGACAATGAGGAGGGAAGAGGGAAGAGGAGGGAAGAAGGAGAGGGAGAGGGAGAGAGAGAGAGGAGGCGCGGCCGCCCAAAGTTGCGATAGGCTCTGTGTGCCTTTCAGTTGTTGTAAGAAATTTGTGTGATAGCGGATCATCTCAATTCCCCCCCTCGCCCTTGTCCTCCTCTCCCCCTCGGTCGTCCCCGGATGACATCGAGGACGCCGGCGGCGCATCACCGGCCGCTCCCTGGGAGTTTGTCGAAGTGGTGCGCAGCATCGAACGTCGTGACGCGGTGCTTATGCCATGTATCAATTGGCCGTCGGCCCATCCCGCCACCGTGCTTGGGTTTCGGTTCGGAGTCCTCATGGACGCTTCGTGGGCTCTCTCGAGACGCCTCTCGGGGGCTATTGGGGGAGTTTAGGTGCCTCTTGGGGGTTTCCTGGGGGCTTCTTGGGAGCCTCTTGGGTCTCTCTTGGGGCCTTTCGGGGCTCTCTTGGGGCCTCTTGGTGGCCAGCTGGTGGACTCTTAGAGCCTCCTGGGGGCCTCCTGGGACCGAAAGCTCGAAATGTTTATTCGGGTTTCCCTTCTGGGCCTCCTCTTGGGGCCATCCTGGGGCCCCTCTTGGGCTGTCCCCGGGGCCTCTTGGGCGGTCTTGGGGCCCTCTTGGGCCGTCTTGGGGCCGTCTTGGGGGCTTGTTGGGCCGTCCTGGGGCGATCTTGGGTGCCTCTTGGGCCGTCGTGGAGCGTGGGTAAGCCGAAATGGCGTGAACGTGAAAATCCTTCAAAAACCATTGAAACATCAATGATTTTTGCTTCTCGGGGCTGTCTTGGGGGTGCTCTTGGAGCCCTCTTGGGCCGTCTTGGAGGCGTATTGGGCCGTCTGGAGGCCATTTTGGGCGTCTTGGAGCGATCTGGAACCGTCTGGAGGCTCTCTTGGACTGCTCGGGACTCTCTTGGACCGGCTTGGGGCGCCCTTGGGTCGTCCCCGGGCCGTTTGAGACCTTGAAGGGGGCCGGCGGCAGAGTGGGGCCGGCGGCAGAGTGGGGCCTCCTCGGAGGAACTTTCAGGAGGTTTTTGACCAGGCACTGGAGAAGGGGGCCAAAGACTGTGCCAGACACTGTGTCAGAGAGGTCTAGCACGGCCCAACCCGCCGGGCGGGAGCGGCCGGATCTAATCGCTGCCGCCTCTGCCGCCGACCCCGAAGAAGGTTTCACGCAGTGGGAGGCCAATCTGCGCTCTGTTCTACGACTGACGACGCATGATATAGTAGGCTTAAGTCGGGCGTGTCCCTCTACAGGAGGAATGTTCAAACATAGTCAAAACATGAGCTGGGGATTTGTTTGAGCATTTCTGGGTTATTTCGGGGGCATTATTTGTTTTTCGTCCAAAATCCGCATGTAGGGGGACATGTCCGACCAGAGTAAATGGTTTCCGCCTGGGTTGGCTTTCGCGCGGTTCGTTTCGCCCAGTTCGTTTCGCCCGGGTTTGCTTTCGCACGGTTGGTTGTCGCCTGGGTTCGTTTTTGACCTGGTTGGTTTTCGTCCAGGTTGGCTTTCGCCCGGGTTGGCTTTTGCCCAGGTTCGTTTTCGCCCGAGTTGGTTTTCGCCCGGGTTGGTTTTCGCCCGGGTTGGCTTCCGCCCGGGTTGGCTTTCGCCCGGGTTGGCTTTCGCCCGGGTTGCTGGGTTGGCTTTCGCCCGGGTTTGTGTTTCGCCCGGTTTGGTGCTTCGCTGGGGATGGTTTTCGCCTGGGTTCGTTTCCGCCCTCCTCTTCCTCTCCTCCTCCCGCCCCTGTTCTTTTATGCTGCTGCTGCTGCTGCTGCTGCTGCTCCTTTTCCTCCTCACCTCCTCTGGCCCCTCTTGCCCGCGGCCGGTTGGCTGGAGCTCCGTTGCGCTCCCGCAACAGCACTGGAAGTACAACCCCTTGCCTTCTTCCCAGACGGCCTGACCTACACATGCACACCGCCCTTGCTCAGGTCCCCCTGAGGCCCAGGGCCAGTCAGTGCTACGTGCCCCCTTGGCAAAGCCAGACGCGTGCTCACTCGAGCGCGCCCCACACTTTAGTGTCCCGCCTGCCCGACCCGACCCGCCCGTCAGGGTCCGCCCGCCCGTTCTAGTTCACGCGTGCTCACTCGAGCGTGCCCCACACTTTAGTGCCCCGCCCGCCTGACCCGACCCGCCGGTTAGGGTCCGCCCGACCCGACCCGACCCGTCCCGCCCGTCAGGGTCCGCCCGCCCGACCCGACCCGCCCGTCAGGGGTCAGGGTTCACGCGTGCTCGCTCCGGCGCGCCCCCCACAGTTTAGTGTCCCTCCCGCCCGACCCGACCCGCCCGTTACGGTCCGCCCGACCCGACCCGACCCGACCCGTCCCGTCCGTTAGGATCCGCCTGCCCGACGCGGCCCTCCCGTCAGGGTTCACGCGCGCTCGCTCAGGCGTGCCCCACGCTTTACTGTCCCGCCTGACCCGACCCGCCCGTTAGGGTCCGCCCGACCTGACCCGATCCATCCCGCCGGTTAGGGTCCGCCCACCCGACCCGACCCGACCGTCAGGGTTCTTGCGTGCTCGCTCCAACGCGCCCCGCACTTTAGTGCCCCGCCCGCCCGACTCGACCCGCACGTTCGGGTCCGCCCGACCCGACCCGACCCGTCCCGCCCGTTAGGGTCCGCCCGCCCGACCGACCCGCTCGTTGGAGCCCGCGCCCATCCCCAGCGAAAGCCAACCCTGGCGAAAGCCAGCCCCGGCGAAAGCCAACCCCGGCGAAAGCCAACCCCAGCGAAAGCCAACCCCGGCGAAAGCCAGCCCCGGCGAAAGCCAACCCGGCCTGGCGAAAGCCAACCGGGCTTGGCGAAAGCCAACCCCGGCGAAAGCCAACCCTCGCGAAAGCCAGCCCTGGCGAAGGCCAACCTGGCCTGGCGAAAGCCAGCCCCGGCGAAAGCCAACCCCGTCGAAGCCAACCCGGGCGAAACGAAGCCCACCGGAACGGAGCCCGGCGAAAGCAGACCCCGGCGGCAAGCATCCGTGCCGCCCGACCGAATGCCAGGCCGCGGGCTCTGCTGCATGGCACGCACGGGAACTAGGCCGCGAGCCCCGCAAGCGCGTTCGCATCCTTCTTCATCACAAGGACTCCTCCTGCCACTCGCTCAGCGAGTCACTTCTTGCTTCCTATAGTGCAGTTGTCCAGGTCACACTTCTTGGCAAGACTGCGGACTTGGGCGACGGCCACCCCTTGCGCGAGTGTCTCTTTCGACCCGGCAGCGTGGCGCTTCGAGGTCCACCCTCAGACCGCCGGCGCGGCCGCCCCAGACAGGTGTGGGCGCGCGAGGTGAATCAACATTTGCCTATACTGGTTTCGCTGAACATGTGCCTATACTACATAGTTAACATGTATTGTAGTGGCCTTCGGCCAGTGCCGCCGATCCGGGGCGCTCCGACTGATGTGATCCTTCCCTTCCTTCCCCCTTCCATTCCGCATTTATCCAGTGGCCTTCGGCCTATCCCACCACCGTGCGTGGGTGGTGGGTCAGAGGCCTCATGGACGCTGGTTGGGATATCGTGGTTGGCCGGGACCTCTGGGGGCCTCTTGGAGGCCTCTTGGGGCTTCTTGGGGGCCTCTTGGGCCTCTTGGGGCCACTTGGGGGCCTCTTGGGGGTCTCTTGGGAGTCTCTTGGGGCTTCTTGGGGGCCTCTTCTGGGCCCCTTGGGGCCTCTTGGAGGCTTCTTCGGAGCCTCTTGGTGCGGGAGGGGTGGCACTCGAGTTCGGAACCCCCTCGGAGGCCACGATCCTTGTGAGGGGTGCCAAAAAACGCATCCGCCGGAAACTCGCACCCCCCCCCCCCACCCCCCTTTCCCCGGCAGAGCCACCCCGGCAACCCCCCCGGAGTCTGAGGCTCAGCCTCGAGGCTGTAGCTGAGACTCCATGTAACTCACACGCCGGATCGGCGGATTTGTTCTGGGGAGGTACACCCTTGAGCACGCTCAGGATTCCTCAAGCACTGCTCTGGCTTGTCACACCGCCAGATGTGGTGCACCCTTCGGGGTAACATGCGACGCCTGTACATGCTTGGTGTTGTCTAATGTGATTGGCGCTTTCCTGCCGGTATGAGTCAAGGTTGCCCAACGCAACTTTCCTCCTTGCCCCTTTCTAATTATAACTGCCTCCTCCTTCCGGTACACGTACGATACACGCTACACCAGCTGCAACACCAACAACGGCACACGTGTCGACGTCAACGACACCGAATCCAGCACCGACGCCAGGACCGACAACAGCACCAGACGACGACGACGACGACGACGACGATGACGACGACGACGACAACAACACCAGCACCAGCACCGTACCACAGCACCAACACCGAACACAGCACCAGCACCAGCACCAGCACCAGCACCAATCGAAAACAGCGCCAACACCGACAATCGCACCTGCACCGACAACAGCACCAGCACTGACAGCAGCACCAGCACCAACACCGACACCGACACCAGCACCGACAACAGCAACCGACGGAGACAACGACGATAGATCTGAGTCTTGGGTTCATGTCATACGGAGAAGTACCTCCACCGCTTTGGCACACGCCAAACGAGCACGAATCGACGATTGGACCGACGTGTACTTCAAGCGAAAATGGGCGCTCGCAGCACGCGTGGCCAACCACGATCACGACAGATGGACACGACTGAGTGCAAGCTGGGACCCATGTACACACGACTTACGCCCAGCCTTTCGCCGACATGGCGGGCAAAAGAAGCTTTGGCATGATGACCTTCTATCTTATCTGCATGACGTGGCCAGCACCGACAACGATTCGAAATGGTGGTTGTTGGCCCAGAACGTACCATGGTGAAAGACTCGTGAAGAAGGCTTCTTGGAGTATATGCGTCGCTTCCTCCATTTCGGCAACTACTACGAGTGAGCCTTCTGGCGTTCCGGCGCCCCCGCCGGGGTCTCAGGGCCGTCCCTCCAGGACGTTTTCCGGCGTTCTCTC